AAAAGCTGTTGTTATACCTATCCCTAAACCTAACAAAAACAGCCCTTCCGTCCCCAACTTTAGACCTATATCCCTAATACYCTGTATATCTAAGGTGCTTGAAAAAATTATATCCGTGAGAATTATGTGGTACGCCAAGAAAAAAGGGTTGATAAGTTCTAACCAATTCGCATTTCAAAAAGTCCTCGGTGTCATCGACCCACTTCTGTATCTTGAACACTGTGCTTCGACAACGCTCTCTGCAAGAAACCAACTGTCCGTCCTTAGTCTAGATTTTGAAAAGGCTTTCGACAGAATTGGTGCACATATAGTTTTAGAATTAGGACGCTGGTGCGTTGGAGACAAAATCTACAGTTTTTTAGAGCCTTCCTCCTGAATCGTTAAATGTTTGTCAGCGTAAATAATCAAAACTCTAACATATAGTAAAGACACAACGGCGTGCCACAAGGCTCACCTATTTCAGTCACCTTATTTAAAATTGCTTTTTATGAACTCAGCTTCCTATTATCCCAATATGATACGGTTGAGCATTTAATGTACGCTGATGACGTTCTAATATTTTCCGCTCTCAAAGACCTTACRCTAATGACAGAAACYTTCACGAGAATTCTAGATGACATATCCAACTGGTCAAAAACCTCTGGATGTAAAATCTCAGCTAACAAAAGATCAACCTTCCACATCTGCAGAAAACATAAATGCACCTTTCCTATCCTATCCCTTTCTAATACCCAAATTCCTCACACTAGTACACTCAGAATACTTGGTATAATTTTTGATAAAAAACTAACTTAYAAGKAACATTGTAAATATGTTAGAATAAATTTAATATCTAGACTTAAMATTWTTAAGTATTTATCATCTAAGCACTGTCATATACATATGTCAAAACTTGTAAATATTGTAAAAGCACTGATGTTATCAAAAATTGATTTTGGACTCGCGATATATGGTCACTGCGCAAAVTYTCACCTTGCATGCATCCAAGCGCCTTACCACACAGCAGGAAGAAGAAGCATACGCGCGTTCCCCACCTCTCCGATCAGAGCCGTTTTAGCCGAAGCAGGCCTACCGAACATCCAGCAAAGAACTAAATATAATACCATGATGCTTCTACCTAGGATTTTCCATAATAGGAACAAAACCTTTTTCAACATGCTCGACACGTCTACAACTAGGATGAATGCATCGAACAAACAGTCCACCCTCATGCAATGCATAGCCCTGATCAACGACCTCAATCTAATATCCACACCCGAATTACTCGTCGAGCCT